GTCTCCTGACTTAAAGCACAGTCCTCTTTCCATTAGACTCTGAGGACATTCCAATCCTACTGAGAAGTCAGGGAAATCTAAGAAGCATGGACATAGAGGCACGTATTTTTAACCTTCCTCACAAATTTCCTTTGGCTTAGCTTCTTCAGGTTCCTGAATAATGTTCGTGTTAATCCCTTTTAACTCCCCAATAGTATACCGCCTCTCTTAGGAATTCTGGTTACAAAGTTCTTTATTCATTCACTTGGATCACCCCTTATGTGGTAAGTGGCTGCCATGAGCAAAGGAATGGGCTTCTATTCAAGAGTATGAACTGGCTTTCCCCAGAGAATTGCTAGAAGCAAACTGGGGTCGTGAACAGAACACTGAATTTGAAGATCTGGGGTTTGGATCTAAGCTGACTCCAGAGCCTCCACACCCAACCCCACTGGCACCCCCCACATAAAAAATAAGAATGTACTTTGGGGGGTGCCTGAGTGGCTCAGTGGGTTAAGTGTCTGCCTTCAGCTCAGGTCATGATCTCAGGGTCCTGGGATCGAGTCCTGCATTGGGCTCCCTGCTCAGCGGGAAGTCTGTTTCTCCCTCTGCCTCTGCCCCTCTCCCCACTCATAGGTGCTCTCTCTCTCAGATAAATAAAATCTTAAAATAAAGAAGAATGTACTTTGCAAAGCATTAAGGTATCCAAAGTTAAGGTGTTCTCCCTTTTGTCAACTTCCACCTATAAGAGCCTCTAAGAGAAGAGATCTACTCTTTTGCTTGCTTCTTTCTACCATCCAGCAATCACATCAAATGTCCAAGTGAGAACCTAGAAGAGGAAAACTCAAGCCTCTCTGGTTGGTTTTCACAATAGAGAAGCTCAGGGTAGGCTCCATAACAGGCTCATTTTCAGCCAGATATGAACGTTGGAAGCTTTTCTCCTGAAGAGAAAAAATGAGTGAGATTCTAGTCCCTTAGAAGATCCAGCTAACTCACCTTGTACAGGAGGCACGGACTCCATGAAATACATGGACAATCCCTCTCCCCAGAACTTCTGCCAGACCTGGCCCAGGCTGGTCCTTTGGAAATACGTAACTGAATATTCCCCACATCTCACTCCTTCCACCTCACTTTCATGGATCGTTCATTACCCACGTTAGAACTGCCAAAAGAGGCAAACTCTTCAGTTCGCCTGTCCCATATTTGCATGAATTATCATGCGCTGAATGTTACGCTCCTTTGAACTTCAAAAGAGCTTCCCGGCCTCTTTGACTACAACTTTAACAACAGAGCATAATGGAGTTACAGAAAGACTCCTCCCCGCCGCCCCCCCCAACTATGGACTTCAAACCTTGCTGATTCTGGACAGTAACAGACTTTTCTATAAGCCACACACGGCTCCATCATCCATTGCAATGAGCCATCAGGATTCCCTGGGTTCCAGAACCCGTCTTGTCCCCTGGGAGAGCAATATAACTATGGCTAATTAGCTACTAGCGAGTGGCAGCATCCAGCCCTCCCTTCCCTTGTGAAAACAGCTTTTTGCAAATATGGCCTTTTCTCCAGAACTCTTCCGATTCTACACCAATTGAGTGAGCATCTTTGACCAAATGGCATGCCCCCTCCTTCCACCCTGACACCCAAGACAGGAGAGCAAACAGGCTACAGAGAGTCTGCATTGACATAGGAGCTTATACTGAAACCAACCCATGAAGGGTCAAAACCCTTGGCTTCCTTGTGTAAAATGGCATCAGGCAGCAAGGAGAGATGGGAGGGTTTATTACCTTTACACTTAACACGTTACCCGGAGTTTTCCCAGATTTTTATCCCTGTCTTAAAAGTCATACTTGCCAATTGTGGAAACTCCAGAATAAACAGAGGCACAGAGATGAGCAAAAAAGTCATGAGCCTACCACCCACAGATAAAAAAAAAATTAGCTCCCCACTGCACACCACACACGACTATAAATTTCGGATGGAACAGAGAACTATGGGTAAAACCCGACATGATGGAAGCAGAAGAAAACATAATAGAGCGAGTGGTAAGGACCTCCTTAGGAAGAAGAAGAAATTCAGAAGGCATAAAGGAAATAAATAACAGATCTGATGACACCAACATTTAAAACCTCTCTATGGGCAAATCCAACTTAAAGTTTAAAGGAACTGGCAGATGGGGAAAATAATATTTTAAACACAAAAGGTTACTAACAAGGTTCGAAATAACAAAATGTTAATAAGTAAGTTTTTACCGACCACCAAGACAAGCAACCTAACTGCAAAATGGGCCAGTCACTGAAGACATACAATTGGCTTGAAAACGAATGACAAAGATATGCCGGTAATAGGAAAATATCACAGCAAAACTGAAATATGATTTCCACTATTAAATGGGCCCCAAGATACAAAGATTAATTATATTTTTGGTGAAGGAGTTAGAGAAGGACACTCATACATAGACAGTGGAAGTAGAAATGAACACAACTCATTTTGAAGGATAATTTGACAGTGCTTACCAAGGTGAAAAGTGAACATCCACACTGACCAGACGATTCCTCACAAATACTTGCCTAAGTGTCCGAAGGTGTTCATCAATGCCTTAGTTGTAAGAGCAAAAACTGGAAGCAACCTCAATATATACAACTAGCGACTGGTTAACTAAACCATGGCACGCTTGTATGACCGGGAAACTACACAGGCATGAGAAAGAATACGGTACCGCCATATGGCAAGGCTCTGACATGGAAGGATGTCCCAGACACATATCTGAATAAAAGTTACAGAAAAATACATATTATACCCCATCTTCGTAAAAGAAAAAAACCTTACAAACATGTACCTGTGTTTTTATGACACAGAGGGAAGAGTTTGGAAGAACACATAGCAAACTGTTAGTAATGGCTTCCCCTGGGAAGGGGGTTGGTAGCTGAGGGACACACATTCTTATAAAGCCCAGATACTTTCAGATTGTTTTGTATGATGACTATTATTAATTTTAAAATTTAAGAAGTTTAAAAAGGAGGTAAGCATTTCGCAGGGCTCTCAGATTTGTAATATGCAATGTTTTTAATGGTAGCATGATAGTACATTACACAGATCATTTATGTAACCATTCCCCAGTGGACTGACATTTCCACTGCTTCTGACTTCTCACTGTTAGAGCTACAGTACAAATCTCCGTGCATGCATTGTGTGTGTGTGTGTGTGTGTGTGTGTGTATCAAGGCAATGTACGGAGGGCATAAGCTCTGAGATTTCCCCTTTAGTGGAGATAACTTAGCACATGTCCTCGAGACAGTTAGCTTGGGCGTGGCCACACAGGATGATCCTGAGCGGCTCATTCAGGGGATGACCATGCCCTTAGCCTCATCATCTGACTGTAAAGCTGAAACACGAGAAGAGAACTGGGGCCCTAAGCCATCTACTATGTAATCATTTTGACACCAACCGAGTATCAAAAGGGCTTGGGACAAATTCATAGGCAGCAGAACCCATTAGAAAGTGATAGTGTGGGGCCTGTAAATATTTTTGAAGTCCGATTTTTCTTTGGTTTGTCAAGTAAGCTCAAGGTTACATGGACAGTATTCCTCAAGTCTTCGTACATATGGAAGACTTCCCAGAAGAGATGGTCTTCCAAGAGTTGCAAGCTTCCCCTATGACACCATCAGTAACAGGTCATAAGAGAGCAAGGATCTTAGGCCCAGCTGGGTTGTAAGAGGAGCTGAAGATGAATGGACAACTTTTCTATCACAGCCACTTTAAGGAGAGCTTTCTGACAGGACAGAAACTGATGCAGAGCTTCCTAGCTGATCCCTGGGCCCTGCCAAACTTCCTCTCATGTCCCCATCACACTAGATAACACCACAGGTCACTCACGCTCAGAAGCCTAATCAAAAGCACCCCTTCTCCCGGGAAGAAGACAGGGAAGACTATGAAAAGCGTAGTGGGACAGAAATACACGTCATGGTGGAATGGATTTGGCACCGTTCTCCCTGTCAGCAAGCCTCATGCCGGCTATAGTCAACTTGCACTGATAAAGGAGATAAATGTTTCAGTGATGGGCTTCACATGCTGCTGCAGCCCCTACCAGGAAGATTTTCACAGTTCCTTCTCATGAATAAGTTCAGTGGAGCAGAGAATGCCCCTCTTGGCCCAGCTCCATTTTGTGCTTCTTTTGATGCAGCCAAAGAGGGGAACCAAAGCAGTGGTTTTTCCTTCCAATTTAGAGCAAGCGTCCACCCCAGAGAAGGCTGCAAGTGGCCCCAAGAAGGTGAGGCTCGGACTTTCAGCAGAAAGCCCCTAACAAGAGCAGTGATGTCAACGGTTACGCATAAATCTCCCAAACGTGGCAGCCAGGAGGGTTAATTATACCCCCTTCCTGCCACTCGGCTTTCTCCAATGTGTTAGCCCATCACACGGATCGCTGACTTTCTAGAAATATTCCCTGGCTTTGCGGGGACGTTCTTTCAATAAACGGCATCCGACTTGCTCACGGTCCCTGGAATCTCAATTTCCTCAAAGGATTTTTCATCTGAATCCAGTTCATGTGAAGGTTTTTTCTTTCTTCGTTTTGCGGCATAAGGGAATAGGCAGAGCCTGCCTTACTTTTTCTTTTTCGTTTTCTTTTTTTCTTTTCTGTGTTATTCTTTTACATAAACTGAAAACCTTTGCTGAAGAGTCTGAAATTTGGGAAAAAATCCAGCTCATCTGTCAGATATTTCTAGAGTTACGTAAAATGGAATGAGATTTGTACAGCTTAGAACAGGAAAAGGAAAATAGGCTAATGTGTCATGTGTTCTAGGAGATGAAAACTATATGATAATCAGAAAAACAGCCCCAAATTTAGTTGGCCCGATTCAGAGCACTCATTCTTTTATCAACTCATGCATAAACCAGTAACATTCACTTTCTTGTCTTAGAATAATGGTATGGCCACATTTGGGCTAAATCACAATCCCTACAGATTATAACCACATTTTCAAAGAAATTACAATAAAGTATCTTGTTTGTTAAACTCAAGACACTTACGTTTTACTTGTTCTGTTTTGCTTCCTTCTAGGAAAAGAAAGAACAGCAACAAGGAGAAGATACATTTCATGCCTCCCATTTTCCACTTTTTTCTCATCTTCACCACTGCAAAAGGCCGCTCAAACCTTTCAGGGCCCAGTGTATTCAAGCTGCTGGGAAGAAAGCAGGAAAAAAGACTTAGGTCGTCTGAAACTGATGGGAGATCACCGATGCTTACGCTTTTAACTTGTCGGGGGGGAAAATACTAGAGGATTTACGTAAGCGTAAGCACTGTTTTCCTGTGTAAGAAAGAGCACTTGCCTCTCCTGTCTTGCAAAGATTAAAGGGGGAAATTCAAGCAGATGAACATGCATTCCTATCCAATGCTAAGGCTAAAATCCTTACAGGCAAGTCATAGGAAAATAAAAATAAATTTTGAAATCATCCTTTCTAACAGAATTAGAGTTGATTTCCCAAGAGATTTTCTTTGGGAGAAAAGGGAAATGGGTTTGCAAAACGGCTCCTCTGGCAACCAAGATAAAAATAATAGGCATGGGACCCAAACAATTTCTAAAATGCAAGTTAACTCATCTTAGCTTCAAGACTACTGCTATTTATTAATCCTTCAGGGATGAGGCGTAAATTGGTCAATGTTTCTCCTGTGTCTTCTATGAGATCTATAAAGATGTGCAGTTGGGTTACTTATGTTGGAAAAGATGGATATAATTAGCAAATGGATACAAGTAAACACCTTAATGGTTCAGACATATTGCTCTCATGTGAAGTCCACTGCAAAATGGAAACTTCTAGTGGGCCATTTTTAAGGGACATTAGGCCAATTTAAATAGATAATGTGTTCACACTGCACCACCATGCAGAAGACCATCAAAGCAACTATAATTCTTAAAAGTATGAGACTTGCATTTCTAGTCTAAGGGGTAGAAATCTTAAACCTTTTGAGCCTTAAAACACAGAAAGCTTGCTCAGGTCCAGCCACGGGTCATTTCCATAGATTTTAGAGTCCATAAAACCCTTCCAATGGGTGATTTGAGAGTATGTAGATGTCCGAGAAACACCACATTTCAATCCGGGGTTAACCCCAATGGGAATGAAGCGCATTGATCTTTTCTGAGGGGCCAACCTAAATACTGAGTATAAAGAGCTGGCAGAAAAGCAAGATGATCATTTCGGAGAACTGAACTATCTTTGGGCCGCGATGGGGATGCCACAGCTCCTACTTGAAATGCTATGAACTTAGCCGGATATATTGAAAGCCACTGTTTGGTCCCCTCTGTGAGCTTGTGGTCCAGCTTCAGTCACTCAGCACGTCTCTGTCCTCTGAGAGCTACCAGGTCCCCCTTGAAGCAAATCATTTCCATGAATGGTTTAACACAGCTGCCCACCCCAGCGAGGTTCTTTCTGAGTCTACTTTAATAAGCTTATCCCCCAAGCCTTCGAATGAGAAAGATTTTCTAACCACTGAAATCCAATTTATCACAATCACATATGGATCTCAGGGGGTATTTCTGAAACCACAGTTTTCGGGTCTCCCCATGCAAGAACCAACAGGGTTGTTTTTCTTGTACAATGGTTGGGCGATTCGGTGAACAGGAGCATTGCTTCATAACTCAAGCTGGCAAGAAAACGGCTCTCAGAATTTTTTTTGCTTTTCTTGGGTCCCAACTAATGCTATGAGCAAATAGAAAAGTTGGTGACGAGAGAGCAATTAATCTCTTTTGGCGTTCCTGTCATCTGTGTGGCCTCCCAGGCTGTGATGGAGAACATCAGAAAATGAATCGCTTTATAAATATTCACTTTTGATTTACAAGATCTGAAGTCCTGTCTTTGTATTCTGTGCAGAAATATAAACTGAGAAGAATTCCCTCCCCAGGACTCTTCCCGGTTCACTGTCGCCTGATCCCTTTAACTTTTTCTTGTGGGGGAGGGAGGTGGTTTCAAGACATTTGTTGGGACTGCAGCAATAAACCTAAGCGAGCATTGCTCAGCAAACATGCCGACTCTTATACTTGCAAAGAGCCAAACTGTCCTTAATTTTTCAAATTATACTTTGACCCAGTTAACTGGAGTTATTTCTGCATTAACTCTCTGCTTCACTCGGGCTGTTGTGCCATTGAACTTGCACTGACTCTCCTACAGGTTACTTAGAAATGTAGCCACAGACCTGTTTGGGGGGGATCCAGGCTCCCCACCCCCAAGAAAGCAAGTAAGAACACAAAATCCTGCAACTAACCCTGGGGAGGGGGGCGGTTTACAAGAGAACAAGAAGGGTCGCCTGGGTGGCTCAGTCATTAAGCGGCTGCCTTCGGCTCAGGTCATGATCCCAGGGTCCTGGGATCGAGCCCCGCAGGCATCGGGCTCCCTGCTCCGCGGGAAGCCTGTTTCTCCCTCTCCCGCTCCCCCTGCTTGTGTTCCCTCTCTCGCTGTGTCTCTCTCTCTCTCTCTCTGTCAAAAAAATAAATAAAATCTTAAAAAAAAAAAAAAAAAACAAGAGAACAAGAAACATGTCAGAACCTACAGAAGTGTATCCATTCAGGTGCCTCCATGAAACAAGCATTCACAGTTCATTTGCATCAAGCAAAGGGACCGAAGGCTCCTTGCCCGGCCGGAACCACAAGGCAATCTGGGCCATCAAGTGTCAGAAGTCCAGACCTTCTCAGAAGAGGTCTCCTGGGTAGAAGAGAACCAGAGAGACTTTCCCAAAGGCAGGCTAAGGGATGAGCACGTCAGCCAGTTCTTCACGGCCCACAGTGTCTCTTTAATCCTCCCGAGAGGCTTGACTGACCTTGTAAACTCACATTCACTGTCTTCTGTGGGACAGCACGCCCCCCCCCCCCCGGGGGGAGGGTAGTGCTTCTCTTCGGGACAAACAACAAGAAGACACTGGAGTCTCAGTGACCGCGTCCATCCGCTGAGATCCTCTCCCCACTCCACCACCCAACAAGAAAAGCTCAGTTCACAGGTGGGAGGCAGTTCTAGCCCAGGGTGTCTCTTGGCCGAGGCAATGCCTTCACTGCTGCTTATGACTGAGAAACAATGCCTTGCATTTGGCTTGCAAAACACCTTGCTAGCCATCATTTCATTCTATTCCCCACAACAACTCCACCTTCAAAATGGGCCCCCTGCAGCCCGGAGAACTCAACCCAGCCCATTCTCATAGAGTTAGTGGCAGGGCCGGCGGGGAGGGTCTGGAAGGCAGGCTTTCCAGGCCCTAAGCTCTGGCAGTGCTCCGTTGCTTCCTGAGCCTAGCGTCTCAGGCTCTGACCCCAGTGGTCTGGGCCGGAAAATGAGACAGATGTCCAGGGGCTAGAGGAGCCTCTCGCCCCCGTCCACCCTGTTTCATTAACTTTAGCCCATATTAATCTCCCGCTGGTCCAGGGCACTTCAGCAAGCGAGAAAAAAAGGCTCTCGGGACACAGGCAGTTACGAAGGGGACTGCAGAAGCCGTTAGGTGGCTGGCCAAGTGGCCTTCCCCAGGCGCCAGAGCCTGGAGATAAGCAGGCCAAGCGGGGAGTGGCAAGTGGTGAGTTCGAATCCAAGGTCCCTAACCTGCCCGGGGTCCTGCGCCTGGGAGCCCACCTCTAGCCCGGGCCGCTGGCGGCTGGACCCGAGAGCAAGTTGGGGTGGCAGGTCAGGGGAGTTCGGGGCGCCCCGGGGGACCGTGCAGGGGCGGCTCGGGCCAACAGAAGACACCCCACCTGTGCAAAGGCTGGAAAGGAAGGCAGAGGGAGCGGGCATCGGGCACTGCTCACTGACCTGGCCACTGGCCTGCTCCGTCTTCCACGCGTGCACGCGCTCCGAGCTCCCCGGGGCGCTCCTCCGAGGTCTGGGGCTCGCAGGTTGTGGCGAGAGCTAGAGTGCGCGCGAAGGGGGAGGGGGGACTCCAAAGTGGGTGGGAGGAAAAACATCACCGCCCTCACACCACGAGGGAGCAGCGGCTCGCTCGGCTCCCGGGGGCAGAGCCAAGGCGCGGGCGCGGCGGCCCGGGGCCACCTGCCCG